TCAATAAATCCACCGGTTCGCAGTGCAACGTACAATTCGAGCTATTAGCCGACAGATTGGCTGCAGGCAAGACGATGGTGAATTCCGCACTGACGGATGCCACAGTGCAACCGGCCTTCAGGCCGTGCACTAAAATAGTAACACAAATATGCTGCAGTTGGTTACTAGGTATGCATAATATTATCACATAATTATGTAATGTATTCAGAGTAAAACCAATGACGATAAATTCTTCTGTGACGCATTCGCGTTCATATTGAGAGTCGGATAGTCGCCAAATTGCATAACTAGATCAGAGTTTTGAGTGCATTAGACATTTTGTGTCAATGTAAAGCTAACATTCTAATGTATCTAATTAGAACATAATAAATACATTTTTGTACCATTCTGGTTTTTTAAGGTTGTAATTGATTTTGATTCGAGCCGAATAGCTGCGAAGTGTTGCGATTTATCGTAGATTGGGGTGGTTTGTTTCGAATCGACAGCAGTCGGCAAGCGGGCCGCTAATAAACATAGGCGCGTCGTGAACTCGGGTGTTCTGATAAAGGCGTCTGAATGTCAACGCACCCGCCGGTCACCTTGAGCCAACGAACCGCTCAAGTGAACGAGAGAAATTTGGCCAATGTCATACTATCTTATCGTAATTTAGTTACGTTGATGAGCTTAGACGGGGAGCCTGGGAACATTGACCGCACAATTGCGCTCTGGTATTGTGCCTAGTCGACAACTTGGAGCAATGCAACCCACAAATGCAACATTGAATCAGTTTTTCCTTTACACGAAATAAGACGACAACTCGCCTCATAGCCTAAACATGCAGACTTGAAGACATAATGTGATAGGTGATTATATACTCAATACAACATAACAATAGAGCAGACTTATTGTCACACCTAGCGGTTACTTCTACGGTTTGTTTAATTACGTGTTTAAAACTTTATTAGGTTAGCAACAAGACGTTTCATCATACAATTTATGTGTATAACAGTACTGCATGCTCGATCATGTGTAGTAGTTAAGCAAACGGTATGATTACCGTCCACAGTCGCGACCAGACTGTTGACGTACGTAATCGTAGGTATAATTAAATGTCACCGCGACACTCTGTTACCGGGTTCATAGTTATACTACGATCGCGCCAAAAATAAACGAGTGTTCCATCATTACCAAGCATTGCAAGCATTATTACCAGTTTCACGCTACTTACATCTTAAGAAAACAACACGAATCACAATAATTTGTTAATTTTCAATTCAGAAGGAGTAGAATTGACGCAGTTAGAAGATGTCGATCTCGCAATCGTTGATGTAGTTTGATGCATCTCAGGTGCCAATGAGGCTGCTCCAGTTAGGTGGCTTGGATCGATGTCGACGCGCCGAAATAGCTCTCGCGGCCGCTCAGAATACACCCGCAAGGTCGCTAGCCGACCTGTGCCCTCTTCATGACCCGTCGCGTATCTTACAATGCCTTTGAAATTGGCGCGCACCTTTGTCTAATTATAAATTATTCGAAGATGATGAGGGTTTTCGGGGATCGATTCCGAAAACTGCGATTCGGCGAGCTGTCATATCATAAGTTTTTATAGAGTCGGCGGATGTCTAACGAGGACCGTTAATTAATTCACGTTCGTTTGTTGTACCGCAACACATTTAGCAAATGAACCGTAATGTGTATGAAAACACTCTCAGTGTCACGTCCACATCGAACTCGACAGCGGAAGGATACTTACGTGAAAGTTTCCATTGGTGACATTTCAAGACCAAAAATGTGCATAAGGGGGCGGAACTTGGCTGCGCGAATCGTGTCAACTGTTTACCAACTCGACTAACAAGTGGGAACTTGGCAGATTGTAAACTCTCGCGTTAACACTCACTTAATTTGAAGGATGCCTTGTTTCGAGGCCGAGAAGACTTTCAGAAGAATGCTTTGTAACAGATAAAGTCGTTTTGACAGAGATCTTTTTCCAGTGTCCAGTCCATTAAATCAGTAATGCGGTCAAGAGAAACAAAAATACATTGTTACGAAAAATGTGAGACGTAAACACATGAGACTCGATTTGTTTCAGCAATAGCACACGTTTATTATTGTTCCGTGTTAGACTAGGAATGTCCGTCAGGTTGTTCGTCCGGCGAGCAGTAGTAAGGGTCATCTGAGGAAATTGTCGACATGAGATAACGGATATAGTAATACAAATAGAAATGAAAGATGTTACGTACAGTTAATCTCACAGGTGTAATGAACAGTTAGATAAGATTAAATAATATTGGGTATATCATTTAATAATGATGATAATTACGTCAACAACAGTAGCAAGATATGCACTCAAAGCGAGGTTCCGTTTTATAAGTCTTGTACATATACGATATTACGAGATATTGTGCAATAGGTAAAGTTAGTCATCTGCTTACAAAAACAACTTTTTTCTAGATAAAATATTAAGTTAGTAACAGCGTGAAACAAAGCGGTAGGGACGTTTCCTTAGTTGTACATAAATTGTCTTACATTTTTTAGGTAGGTCATCATGGCAGTAATTTAACGCGGCGCGCAGTCGCAGGAACAATAATTAGCGAAAACAAACAGTCGCCGTCATCGGGCACACCACATGAGTAGGGCAGGCGTTAAACTGATAATTCTTTATTTAGATTTGCGAGTGGAGCGCTCAGAGAGGACTTCTATTTTAAACTAATTTGGTGCGTATTTTTAGAGTAAAAGTATGACTCACGTGAGTTGCTGGCGATCGTCGAAGAATTATTTAACAACAAAACTTTTGCGAAAATAGATCGTATTTTAAACAAGGATGACTTAACTTTCCGAGAATGTGCTGTTACTAAGCTTTAAAATTGAAACGGAAAATGATTTTAAACTAACAACTACTCATACGTAACTCAGGTGGTCCGGCGCGTATGCATACTTAAAATAACCAACGATGTCTAACATACATTTTTCCAATGAATAAATAAAATTGTCTTTCAATTTAAAATGACGGGTAATTGCATGTCTGTATGCAAGGCAGTCATAACAACAACATAATAATGTGTCTGGCTTAACATGCAAAAAGCTTGTGGTAACCCCTGTATAATCATGTATCTGGTCTGCTAGCTGGATGCGCAGACGCGGCAACTGGAGCGTTGAGGCGCCAGCGTCTCGGGCAGGCGCGCGCGCACTTTTATTGTTCCACCTTTACCGCTAACTACATTATGACGTTTTGAAATTCAAATAGCATATTGCAAATATACATTTTTATAAAGTGTAACGTACACTCGTCTGGGTCGAGATAAGTAGCTATTGTAACCGATTGTGTTTATAAATCATACGCTCTTCCTATCTTGGAAATTATGCCTAGTGAAACGTTAAACTTACTTCATCGATTCATTGAAGCAATAAGTGATTTTTCAGTGTAAGTAAATTGATGATGCTCATATGTATAACGGCTTGGACAGACATGTGTTATTAACAAACGAGTCTAGAAAGTATTTCGGGAATTCCCAATTACTCAAAACACTAAAGTTAGATCACATAACATGATTAGCGTCCAATGCATAGGGGGTTTTATTCCTCACCACGCTACCGAGTCCATCAAATAGATCGGGGTTCCGATACGGTCTCAAAATAGTCGTTCGATAGTGTACGCCCGTGTTTCGCATTACGATATTGGCCTTCCCATCAATTTTATTTGAATAGGGAGTCGAATTTGGTCGTACCAGCAATGCAATTTTATTTATTTTAACTGATTGATGACATCACACTTCATGATTTCTGAGAATATCTCGAGCACAAATCGTTTTCAATGCAAATTGGTTCTAGTATTGTCTCCAAGCACAATGCTCTATGAGGCAGTGATCACGATGAATATCCTAGCAAGCATTAAAGCGATTGGTGAGGGGCATGCTGAAAACCGAAGTCTGGAGATTGATATCAGCAATTTATCTTTAAATTATGGTGTAATGAAACGGAACATCAAAATATCACGCGAGGAAATACCCAGAGAAGACAAAACCAGTTCCTATGCAATACGAGCAAATCAAATTGTCAATAAGCATCAGACGGGGCCCAAACAAACGCCACACACCATGAAGAGGGCAATGACTATAAATTTGCACAAGAATCAAAACTCGACTGGATAAACGTTAAGATCGGTACTAAAGCGATTTATGATTCGAAATAAAAACATAAAAGTCTTAATGAAATTAGTTTGATTTAGAATGTTTTACTGCTTTCTATAAATAGTCTAGCGCCGCGCCGGACATAACAGACGGAGATAAACAAAAACATATTTTTATTGACATACATTACGCGGTCGGTATTGCTAGTTTTATTATGCTTCTGTATATGTAAAGCGTTGTATATGTAGGTATCGGAGTCCATCGCGATATTGGGCCATCAATCTCCGGGCCAAGATAATGGTGCCGCGGTGGCGATGTAATAGTTCCTTGACCGGCTGATTGAAATATCTAGCAGCGGTGCGCCACGTGACAGCAGCAGCCAAAATAATCTGACATGACGAAGCTAATCGATACAATCATATTTAAAACACGAAAACAGAGGTTGCTTATACATTGTACAACTTTTGGAGTCACTTTGTGTAAATGGTAAGTCGTAAAAGAGATAATGCAAGAGCTTTTTTTATTTGTATTTACATAGGTATTCAACCTATATAAATACAATTTATTGTTCTACGACCTTTATGAAATCTATTTAAAGATCACATTTCTGAGATGAATGCTGAACTTCAGCACCGTGTTACTAAGATGTTTATGAAAGTCATTGGTTGGCAACAAACATCGGCCTAATTTTAAATTTGAATCGATACCGGTCAAATACGCCTATGACGTATCCGTGTGGTTCATTACTGATTTATGATAATTGGCTTAATAAAATCGAGTAGCTTCTATTGTCCTTTACGAGGGACACTCGTGTATTTATTACGTAAATAATCTATTATCAAAACTGACATGATACTTTGCATAAGAATATATGCGATGTTGGAATAATGTTCAATTCTCATAGTTACATGTCAGCATCATAGATACAGGATCTCCGGTTTCTTACCTGAAACAAATGAAATAATGTTATTAATACGCAGGTTTTTATGTGACGTATAAAACTGTGAAGTGAGTTGGCGGGCGAAGCGGGATCGATATGAGATGGCCAGGCGAATCATGCAAGTCATCGGGGTCGTCAACATTGGCGTGTTTTGACGTACCGAGCACCATAATGACGTCTACTGTCTATATAGCTGCTATTATTCCGGGTCAGCTTTGCTGTGAAAGATTTTTTTCACGGTAAATTGATGTTTTGCTACGTTGCGCGCCGTGAATCATCCGAACGCGTTGTGATGTAATTTTTGTTTATTTAGGTTCCCGTCGGTGTTTTTGTCTCGATATAAAATTCCCTGGACTATGGGATTGTCGTAAATATGCATGATGTCGGCTCAGACTAGAATATTTTTGATAACATGACTTATTTCAGCGATAGAGAATCCAAACAGACATAAAGTTCTCTCTTATCTTTAAGGAGTGTCTTTAAACTCTGACATTTCGAATGGGGACTGTTGACTCTCACTCAGACTTTAAAAACAAGTGCTTAGATGGCTACCCTTCAACGATAATACCTAAGTGAAGAGTATTTTAAACTAAGAACATTCAAACACAATGTAAGATATTTTGATGAAGGAACTTTTAATCTGACAATCTATCTAGTCTAGCAAGTTGATCATAATTCATATCTAGCTGTTTACTTAATGTGGCGATATACGTACAGCATGTGGTTTGCATAACAAAATAATAAATCACGTCACACTAGATGACGTCGCTTTGACGACGCAACAAGACAAGCATTAGTGACGAAAGTACGTATCGCAACAACAATAAAATAGAAAACCGCTCAAACATCAATTCATCACCGTCAACCTTTTGTAAACGTTACAGCTCGTAAAGTTTATACAACAAAACATTGACCGGTAACATAAAAGCGCGTATACACACGTGGGACGATAAATACTATGCCAAATTGCATGAGTCCCGTCGATTATCCCAACGACCTCTCTGCATGTGGCCCGTAGGGCGGCGCGTGCACCCTATCTTATGGAATTGTCTAATTTATCACTAGAGATTTATGTAGGCAGCGACGCGCCCGCATACACTCTGTACAGAGCGTATATTGGTTCCATTATAATATAAACTTATGCGAGGGCTAGTCCTGGCCTGCGACAATGAGAAAGTTATTACTGGAATTGTTACGTGGACACGCTTTGTACCGCGCTCACTGTACGGCCTGTTTAATTATGCGAATGTATTGAATATTGGTTCAAGCTCTCCTCCTAATGCATTTTATTAAATTTATGTCAAAGGTCAAACATCGAATGCATAGCATTTCGTTAGCATGTCTACCATGCATGGATGGTTTATTCATCAGTTTGAATATTAACTCTTTTTATACGATACGGTATTAAATTTGAATTTCGTATAGATTAGTAGACGAGATCATGTTCCAGATAATCATGAATTGCGCATTTGTTCTACATTGTACCTACGTCAAAAATTTGTCTACAATTTTACATAACTACGTTTTATATATTGTCGTAAAGTCAATCAAGTTAGGTGATCAAATCAGAATGGCTGGTGATCTTTGTTAGAATAATGTCATTTGGTCACGCGTGGGCTCTACCTACCAATGGACCAAAGCCAGTTTCCCAATATATTTGTCGATTATTTTGACACATAACAAGAACAACTATGTTCATATAATACGCTTTATTGACTAAATTATTACTATGACAAAATAAATAATTTAAGAAATATTGTTCATAAATGATGGTTATAGCTTTTTATCAAAGAAAGCTGAAATCTTTATTGAATTTATTTGTTGAAATTCTTCTGGCACATTTCATAAGTGGACGTTATGTTTACTTATGCATGATTTATTTAAAGCAAATTATTCGCTTGTAGACAGAAAGAAATAATTTATAACATCCGATGTGAATGAATCAAGTTACAACAAGATGTGATGATATTATGAATAAATATTAAATTGACACCAAATTATTAATCAATTTGCAAGTATTTTGTATAAGACATTTACTATTAAAGGTATTTCCTGATTTTGATATAGATGTTAAAATAAAGATGTGAATTAATGCAACTTTAACGACGCAGTTTTATCAACAATTGCACGTGATACAATTATTAATATCGATAAATATTAATTAGAAGCACATGGTTGTTGTGGGTGTGAGGGTGGAGGTGCAGGGCACCCTCTGCCGCACCGATGGTATGCAAACACATTTTAAATTATCGCAAGCAAAGATTGTGGGAAAGGAAACGTTACCGCGGGAGACGCCGTGGGCGACCCGGCGCGAACTTCGCACGAACACAATATCATCGCAAACTTGGAAAACTTGGGAAAACTAAGTACTAAATATCTCCGGTTTGTGTTAACTATCGACAGCCGTAGGCCTCCGCTATTCCAATTATAAAAATCCATTTAAGTATAAAAGTGGGTGATCGTAAAACGATCCGTTAAATAGCTACTTTCGTAATCCAAACAATCTAACATTTTGTAACAAACGACCGAGATTTATATTGAAATTCTTTTTGTACAACTAAAGTGTCCGAATTGGAATGTTCCGATTAAAGATACTTTATTCAGCGGCGATAAAATGATAAGCAATTCTTTTAAGAAGGTTTGTTGTGCGTAAACAAAAAGGGCCATTATAAAAACACAATAAGAAACAAATTTAACAAGATGTACGACATGTTGCTAGGGCAACCCAAGATAAATTCAGTCAGAAATAACACCGGACAGGCAGGTTGTAGTAGCGAGTTCCTTTACTAACTAAAAGCGCGGCAGAACTGGATTATTTATAAACTTTGCATCGAATTAAAATATCTAAACACTAAAGTGATCCAGGTAGCCTGGCGTGAGACCTATGAGCCGTAACCGTGGCCTTTAAACACAATATTGTATTTTTTACTCTATTAACATACAGGAACTAATTACGGATATCAAATGTAGGATGAAAAAATAAATGCCGATCGGATTATAATTAGAACCCGCAGAGATAAATAACACAGAAGAATTAATAAGTAATTCAAACGGAATAAATATTCAATGAATATTCGATTGTTTATGCGTGTATTAGCAATAATTTACTTTTGATATTACATTGCAGTCTGTAACTTGCATGCTAATGATCAGAAAATATTTCCCATGTTATCTTTCGATGTTGATAATGTTTTCATTCGTAAATGGTTAGTGTCGTTGTTTGTTGTTGGCACACGTACGCCCACGGATCAGTTTGCCCGACAAACGGACGACACAGGTGTCGCAGTTACTGCATTCTGGGCCAATTGGGCAACGTCTGACGAAACGTTTGGATTGAGCAGTAGCTACATATTTGATCGAAGTTCACATTTGTATGCGTGCCTTAATATACATATTATGACAACAATATACGTAATCAACACAACAAACAGAGCTTATAAAGCATCATGATAAGATTTAACTCGTGAAATGAATCATGCCAAAAATAAATAAGTCAATTGTTATCATATTGATTGCAGGCTTTGATTAGATCGACGTCAAAAAATGACGGCTTCCACATAAGTATCACGCTCACGATAAAAGTATTTACAGCGAAACAATGTACCAGGAATTTAAAGGAAGAAATGCAGTCGGCTGCGAGACAACGTCGTTAAAACCAGATCGTGTCTGGAGCGAAAGTTGCATCGGCTCAAATCAGATGCAGACAAGAGAAATCCACGGCAAAGTACACTCGATACAGGTCTGGTCCCCTAACAACCGCAACCGTCGAGCGACAATTAGCACTCGTCGTAAATGTCACGCAAACGTCTCCGCGAAAGTCTCCGACTTCACTCGTGGCACTTCTAACAGTTTATGGAAGCGTCCTTTAAAATGCAATCTTATATCCGCTCAGAAATAGGCCACGGAGAAGTATTAGATGAAGTTACAGAGCTGTGCGCACTGCGCTGCGATTGTTTTTTGCATATTAAAATTGATTACTTGCTGCTTCAATTGTTGATTATAAATCTAGCAACAGTCGAGAATTTGGCACTTTTTGCAGATGTTCAACGAGTAAAACAGCAGGTATTTTTTATCAAACGATATGTAGAAGAACTGATCAAACTCGATGCCCTGATCATGGCGATAGTTGTTACACTTTTATAAAAAAAACTCAAAGTAAAGTCCACTTTGATAGTGCTACCCAAAGCAAGTTTTAATTTGATTAAAACTACGCAATTTTTCTCTCTTAGCAAAACTTTGCGCCAGTTAGCCTAGCCAGCGGTGAGACGAGGTCCAGCATTTTCTGAAACTTCTTACATTTATTACGATTACAACTACAAAATCACCGAGTAATTTTAGTTGTAGTCTGAACACTCTAAAATAACTCAGTATAACGGTACAGCCGTACAGGCTCACTGAAGCTGCTTTAAGGGCGAATTGTCGTGACAAGTAAGAAGCTATTTCTGTCTGTCTACATCCCGTTTCGGAACATTAGCATACACCGAACCGGGTATAAATAAAGGCACTAAATATAAATAAAGGTACGGAGCGCGCGACGTTTAGCACTTCTCATCTGTTTTTAGGGTTCAATAACATAAATCGTGAAAAAACAGTCTGTGTTAAAAGCCCTGAAAGGTTGTTTAATGTTGTTGTTAATTTAACTACGGATAAAGAAATAAATACATTTAGATCAGCATTTTAATGGGTTGGAAATGAAATAGTCGATTGTAGCTTCCCACAGAACACGTTTCAAAAGGTAAGGTTGTATAAAGTCGTACAGCATTGGAACCTTTATTGCGAATGTTGCCATTTCGCGCTTGATCTGTTTTTTATTTATGTTCATTTCAGGGAGAACACACCTGTTGGTTAATTTATGTCGAGACGTGTATTGAATACTTATCGGGCCCACACGTTGCCGGTTTACACACATCACACGACAAATAAAGCCTTCACACATAATTTGGAACCGTTAAGCTCGCACCGACTCGAGTATTCAGGAGAAATGATAAAACTGATGATGGAGACAT